TTCCTGTAGCCTTAATTACGGAAACTGACTCTTGAAACTGAGGACACTTGGCAGTTGAAGCAGTTGTTGTGTGTGTAGTAATAAAACAAAAAGATAAGCTACTGGTATAATCAGTAAACATAGTAGTTCAACTGAATGGTCTGAGTGGAGACTGCTGATGTTGGATTCTCAGTTTGAATTATTACCCAGTCTGGCACTGGTATTTGGTCAGTAATGACATGCTGGGAGGGCTGCAGGTCAAGGCGCAAGTGGGTACAGCCAGCTCCCTGGCACCCCGAGGCTCCCAAGACCCTCACTTTGGGGAACGACCCCCGTCTAATCAGGTCAATCATGGCTGACCACATGTGAAAGATAGGCCTGCCTACTGCCATGCCAATTACTGCCACTCACATGTAAGGCCAGCGACAGGGCCACAGATTTTACCAATCAAAGCCATCCATCCACCTGGACGGACGGGCAGCGCTAGCCACAGGCAGTCGGTGCTGGGGTGGTGCCTCGGACGCAGTGGTTGATGGTGGGGAGGAGGGAGACAGCGAGTACAGCCAGACATCGCTGCTCAGGTAGTGTGCCACAGCTCCCAGAATGCTTTATTCCCTTCAGGGACAGGGGCAGCCATAAGTGATCCAAATACAGGCAGAAAGGTCAGTGCTTGTCCAGGAATTCACTCAACGCAGCTTCTCCTCTCCCCTCTGTCTTTATATGCCCTCCACGTGCCAGCAATCCAAACACCGGTATGTTGTTGTCTGTATCTATGGAGACCGATCCCTCTCGCCAGTACACGCAGGAAATCATGTTGCGGAGGAGGGAGTGGGGATGGGAGGGGTAAACACCAACACTAAACAAAGCAGATGGCTGAGTGTCAGTTAAAACGGAAAGCGAGACATCAACAACCACGCTTTCCCTGTCGCCAACAATTACACAGTAATTGTGTCTGAAATTCAATGAAAAACAAAATGGCAGGCTTTGTAAGGTCACGGTGGATGAAAAGAAAAAGTGAGAAGAAGAGAAAAAGCAGGAGAGCAGAGGCACAGAGAGAGAGAGAGA